GCCTGTCCTGGCCGGCCAGATAGGAAGCAAATGCTGCAAGCTTACAACAGGGGCGTAGCGCAGGGTGATTCCAGGCATTTCCGGAATCCGCGGCCTGGTCTGTGTCAAAATGAGCAGCATACTGATACAGTATACAAAAGCATGAAAGCGAAATTGTGAAAGGGTTTTTATTAGTAATATATAGTAGGTTTGTAATCCCCCTGCTTGGAAACGGCTGGCCTAGCCGCCTGTTAAACTAACCCCAGGTTGCAGCTAGTAGCTGTAGCATAGTGTAGCGGGTGGGGGCGGCGCGGCGGGCGGAGCGGAGGACGGACGGACGGACGGACGGATGGATGAATGGGCGTACTGCGTCGTGACAGAGGTGTATCGATGGATAACAGTCGTGCGCGCACGGCTCCGTGCTTGCATGACGGCGGGTGTCAGCGTATGTCGCGTAGCATGTTGCATCAGATGTCACGTATGCGGCATCACGTGTGGAAGGCAGAGGAAGAAGGTTAAAGAAGTGGTTTGTTGCGCCACAGTGCGGGAGAGCTCGGGACGGAGCCGGCAGTCGGGCTTGCAGTGTGGCATCGACGTGCGAGCGTTAGCAGTCAATGAAGCTGGGCGTTGCGGCCTACTCTGCTTTTTGTTGCTTCGCCTTTGGTTTTTTCTCCGCTTGGTTATTCTCTACCCTTTCTCCTTTCACGGCCTGTGATGTAGCGTCAAACCTATCGGGTTACAGTTTTGTGGCGTGACGCAGAGAACGCGTGCACTATTACGCGTTAGCATTTTGGTGGGGCAGTGTCAGCCTTGTGTCACGCTAGACGCTACAATATTTAATATTCAGGAGTAAGATAATATAGGTCTATATATATATACTATCAAGGAGGCTTAAGTAATACTAGGTTATTTATAGGTTATTATTAGCTCTTATATATGATATATATATATATAATAGGATATTATATATATATTATATATATATATATATATATAGGATAATATAGGTAAGATAATAGATCGTATATTATCTTTACTCCTTTGATAATATGTATTATATAGATAATAAGACATGTAGTTGTGGGACTGTCTATGTATACACTGCTGATAACTGATAGGTATATTTTATATTATTAATGCTGCTGTTGGGGGCATATGAGAGGCATAGTGCCCCCAAAGCAGGCATTAATGTTTTTAGTGCATCAACATGGACTATGGCAATTCTACTTTTTCATGGGCTTATAGTACTCTTCTTTTATAATCCCTAATTTGGCCCGGTGCATTCCGATGTACCAATAAACGTTGACACAAACCACAATCGCCGTTGCTGAAATTAGTCTTGCGTGGCGCCCGAACGCAGGGATTGGGATGTAAACACAATGGCGTTTATATAATTAACATATCGTCGCGGCAAGCATAGTGGCCGCTCAGCGGGCACTATCGGGCTTCATAGTTGCCTGCACGTTATCGCAATGAGATTGCGCATGCGATTTATCAGGCGTCATGCACTTAATGCCGAGTTATAGTACCTGTTTTGTGTTTCTTGTAAGTAAACATGTTTGGCTCTTGATCATGACGACCGGTAGGAAGCCGAAGGGCTGATAGTAGTCGGGATAAGCTGGAGCAATATCTATATCCTTTTACTCCTACTTGTAAATATTGGCTCGAGTGGTAACAGGGACAGGTCCGTCCTTGCATGTCAACGGAGTGTACATGGCAAAGGCCGTGTGGCGAGGCACGTGGTTCAGTTCGCACGTTGGCCTTTGAGATATTGTGTAAATAGCAGTAAGTTAATGTATATATATTATATATGTTATATATATATATATATATTAATATATATATAGTATATATTATGTGTTTATTTATTTATACTATCAGGAGTAAATATTATTTAATCCTACTACTGATAACCTTGTATAGATATATATATATTATGTTGATTGTTGTACTAAAAATTTCACTGCTCACGTATTTTGAACATAAATTCCAAGACTACTACCGTCAATCGTACCACGATCTCTTCCTTTTCCTCTTGCCTTCTCTCTTTATCTCTCTCGCTCTGCTGCCGCTGCTTCCTGCGCTCTCCCGCCCACGTCGCTTTCTTGTCTGCTTTGTCACGCTCTCTTTCTTTCGATCTTTTTCTGTCTCTCTTTCTCCCTTCTTCCCCTCCCTCCATTTTTTATTTTCCATTATCCTCTAATAGTCTCTCCCTCATGGTCTTTTTTGCAGCTCTCCCCTCTCTCTCTCCCTCCTCATGCCGCTGTTCCTTCGCTTCTGTTGGTTCTCGATTTCAGGCCCTGCTCTGCCGCTTGCCGCTCTGCTGCTCTCGCGCTCCTGATCGCTGCCTGTTTTTCTCGATCCGGCTCTCTCCTTCATCTCTTTCTCTTCCCCGTTCGCATGCTCTCGCTCGCGCTCGCCTGTCTTTTGCATCCGGCCCTCTCTCGCCTTCACCTCTTGCTCTCTCTGCTCTCTCTGCTCTCTCTCCCTCATCCCTCCCTTCTCGTCCCTGTCTCTCATCCGGGTGCCTCTTGCCTCCCTTTTTTTTTTTTTTTCGCGCCTCTCCACGTTCTCCTTGCGCACCCTTCTTCCTCCTCCCTGTCTCTTCATCCGGCGCTCTCTCGCCTTGCTTCTGCTCTCCTCTCTTCGTCACCCTGCTCTCTCCATCTTCTACTTTTGCCTCCCCTCTTCTCTTCCTCGCCTGCCTTCCCTCTCTCACTCCCTCTCTCTCTTCTCTTCTGCTCTTCCGCTGCCTCCCTTTCTCCCTCGCTCCTCTCCTCTCCTCCCTCTCATCCTGTCTCTCATTTCGGGCCTGCTTTCCTTCCTTTTTTTTCCTCTCTCGTCTCTGCTTCTCTCTGCTTCTCTCTTCTCGCCTTTCTTGCTCTCTCTTCTTCTCCTCATCCCTCCCTCTCCCTGTCTCTCATCGCGGCCTTCTCCTTCTTCGCTCTCTCTCTCTCTCCCTTCTTCTTCTCTCTCTCCATCTCCCGCTTCTTTTTCCTGCTCTCTTCCTTTCATCCTTTTCTCCTCCCTGTCTCTCACGTCCGGGCCCTCTCTCCCTTCGCTTGCTCTCTCCTCCATTCCCTTCCTGCCTCCTGTCTCTGCATCCGGCCTTCTCTGCAGGCCCTTCCTTCTCTCTCTCTCTCTCCGCTCGCCTTCATCTCGTCCTGTCTTCTCTCTCCTCCATCCCCCTTAACCTTCCCTCTCTGTTCATCATCGGCCCTCTTTCCGCTTCTCTTCTCTCTCTCTGCTCATTGTTGCTCTCTCTCTTTCCTCTCCTTCCCTTATGCTCTCTCTCTCCCTCCCTCCATCCCTCCCTCCTTCAGCCTGTCCTCTCATCCGGCCTCTTCTCCCTTCCTGTCTCTCTCCCTCTCTCTCTCCATCTCCCCTTTCCTCCCTCTCTTTTTTTCGCCTCCCTTTCTTCCTCCCTCCATCCCTCCCTCCCTCCCTGTCTCTCATCCGGCCCTCTCTCCCTTGCTCTCTCTCTCTTCTCCTGCCTTCTCTCTGCTCGTCCTTTTTTCTCCCCTCTCCTTCCATCTCTCTCTCCCTCACTCACTCCCTCTCTCTCTCTCCTATCTATCTATCTCTGTATAATAATAAAATCGTGTAAACTCAAGAGCGTATAAAGAAGGATGAGCGCTACAACGGTGAAATGCTGACCCTCTGCTTGCGTTTTTGGTGGCCAGTGAATTGCGGAATTGAAGCCGGACTTCGTCTTCCGGTTGTAGCGCGAATTTTCTGACTTGGGCGAAATATCTGAGATAAGGATGCCTTGCGCATGCCGTACCGCGTCTGCCGCATCGCACTTCGCATGGCGTCGGCGACCCGACTAATCCAGCTGGTCTTTGTGTGGGACATTATCTGACGCTGCGAAATGTATGATATAGGATGCGTATGCGCATGCGCTGGCTTAGCATATATGCTGCAATTATGGCAATTTCGCACTTTTCAGCTAAGACACCAGCTGGTGGAGGAAGGAGAGGGGGAGGACACGCTGGTGGAGAAGGAGAAAGGTGGGGGGAGGGGCAGCGAAGAAGGGGGGGAGAAGCTGGTAGAGAATGAGGAAGGGGGAAAGGGACGAAGCTGGTGAGAAGGAGGAGGGGAGAAGGGAGAGCTTGGTGGAGAAGGAGGAGGGGAGAAGGGAGAAAGAGGAGGGGAGAAGGGGGAGAATGAGGAAGGGGGAGAGGAGAAGCTGTTAGACGAAGGGAGGATAGGGGAGCAAGGGAGAAGTGGTGAGAAAGAGGAGGGAGAAGGCTGGATGGAGAAGGGAGGAGGGGGGAGAAGGGAGAAGCTGGTAGAAGAAGGAGGAGGGGGAGAAGCTTGGTGGGAATGAGAAAGGGGAGAAAGGAGGAGGGGGGAGAAACTGGTGGAGAGGAGGAACGGGAAAAGAGGAGGGGGAGAAGGCTGGTGGAAAAGAGAAGGGGAGAGGGGAGAAGGTGGTGGAGGTAGGAAGAGGAGATAGGGAGGAAGGTGGTGGAGAGGAGGAGGAGATAAGCTGGTGGAGAAGGAGGAGGGGAGAAGCTGGTGGAGAAGGAGGATGGGGACAAGCTGGTGGAGAATGAGGAAGGGGAGAAGGAAGAAACTAGTGGAGAAGGAGCGTGAGGTGGGCACAGGTGGGGGGTCATCACTATGGCAATCAATAACAGACGTCATTCATTCCATTTGTCAATCATTGACGGAAACACGTGAGGTTTCCCGAAGTTATCTCAAAGCGAGAGACAGTCGCAGTAAACAGGGATCTCGAGTCGGGTTTCGGTGAAAATACCAGATTTTCACCGCTGATTATCTCAGCATAGGGGCATCGTAGGGACATGCGGTTTGTTTTATATTAACAAGTTAGGACAGCTGATCAATAAAAGAATCGTCAAAATAAAACGGGGAAAGTTTATTAATTCGACTAATACTGCAACATGGTTTCAGCATTTCACCGTTGTACGCTCTCCTTTTTTATACGCTCTTGGTAAACTCTATATTACCTGTCATTCACATTACTGTCTCATTCACAAATTTTTTTTTTTGTAGAATTCATTTAAGATGGGCATTGTTCGCAAGATATTACCGCCGAAAGACGCGTCAGAGGATGCTATCAAACCTCTGTTTGAGCTCTCCGATTTCCAGAGGAGAAAGCTGTCGTATTATTTTTCATTGTTAGGTAACAATTATTATTGTTGTTGTTGTTGTTGTTGTTGTTGTTGTTGTTGTTGTTGTTGTTGTTGTTGTTGGTGTTGTTGGTGTTGTTGGTGTTGTTGGTGTTGTTGTTGTTGTTGTTGTTGTTGGTGTTGTTGTTATTATTATTATTATCATCAGCGTCCTCATCATCATCATTATTATTATTGTTGTTATTATTATCATTGGTGTTATTGTTACTATTATAAGTATTATTGTTATTAATTATAATATTATAATTTTATCAGTTTGTATGTAACAAATCGATCATCGGTTGAACAGTGGCTCGAACCAAGCGCTTGGTTATCAAAATCCATAATCGATTTCATCAAAAAAAAAAAAAAGTGATGAGAATCAGAGATGTCATCGCTACTATACAAGTTATCCTTTATTAACATACATGTATTATACACACAGTAGTAAACAGTGCAAAACAAACAGTAAACTGGGCTAAACAAGCACATACATGCACACACGTACATGCACACGACGTTACGCACACGCAGGCATTCAACACCCCGAGTAACCGATTGTAACCGATCATCGGTTACTTGGGTCCAACCGATGATCGATTACGAAATTACAACCGATTGACAACACTAAACATCACCCATTGTTGTTATGTAATTTTTAAAGTATAAGAGCTGTAGGAAATTATGAATCATACATCTTTATAGTCATTGCCTAAATTGCCTATAAAAGCAACCAGTGACCGCATCCAGCTATCGTTTCCTCGGAATCTGTAGCGGTGCAAGATATCGTTTCCTCGGATAATATTATCTTAATCCGACAAATTTTTTGTTCTCGCAACTTTTCAGATGTAAACGGGGACAATAAGTTGACTAGTGATGACATCACGAAGTTTACTGAGGTGCGTCTTCTGTGTGTTTAAACCTTTCGTGTTGTAAATGCATTCTTTTCATTAGTTTTATGTACTATTTAATAATGAAATAATTAATTAAGTCACTAATAATTCACAAATGTCTACATATTTGTCATCTCTCAGTTGAATGACCGTTTGGTCATCAAAATGGTTTGTGCTGCCATCTATTGGCTAGCTGGTTCACTTATGAAGTTTACTGACTTATACTTCATTGTTTAAACCGCATATTTCTAGCATTCCAATGATACCCCAGTCAGGTACGTGCGCACACAAGTGTGAAATCTGTAATTAAACTGACTTTTCACTAGTATTTTTTGTTTCCTCTTCTGTACAAGAACTTCCATAAAGTAGGCTGTTCTAGCATTCTGTTGCTTGTAGTACATGGAGGAAATCTCATGATTTCACAATATTTATTAAAAGAAAAATTTGGTGCACATGGGCATATCCTTTCCTGTCATGTTCTCGTGGGACATGACAGGCTGTGTTACCAAGGAAAAGGGTTGCATTCTTTTAAGAACCACTAGAGTAGTCTGTAGTATAGTAGTAGTAGTAGTAGTAGTAGAATGATGAGTGATTATTCTTGAGTTAGCATAATATTTTATTCGTATTCATTTGCATAACACTGGCAAATGCTTTTCTCGCGAAGTACGAAAGCATTCGCGTTGCCGCGCAACCTTAAATCCGTCGTCTTCGCAAACGTCTGAATTACGTTCCGGTCTGCGGGGGAAATTGAGTCGCTTCGTTAAAAAAATTTTTAGAAGATGCTCGTGCACTCGGACGTTTCGGAAGATGCGGAACTGTACGAAGTTGCACATGACGTCAACCGGAACTTTTACGAGAGCCTGTCCGAGAAAGCGGGTACTACAGGTACGTAATGAAGAGAAATATGTACGTGCGTGCGTGCGTGCGTTCGTGCGTGTGTATATGTTAACAGGGTTCTGCCCAGGATTTTTTAGTGCCGGGCGCATCCAGGATGCAAGCGCCGTAGGCGCGAAGCCAATCTAGGGGGGTTAGGGGGCACACCCCCGGAAAAATTTTGATTTCAAATGGATAGTCTGAAACTCAATTTCCTGCATTCTGAGCAATAAAAAGCCCATATATCAAACTTTTTTATTTATTTTGTTTATTTTTTTAGCTCATCTGACATAGTCAGATGCAGCTTGTAGAATCGCATGATCGTCCGTCCGTCCGTCCGTGCGAGCGTCCGTCCGTCCGTCCGTCCGTCAACAGTTGGGCACAAATCTTAACCGCTCGACGTACGGGCACGATATTCGGGACGTGGGGGGGTAATCCGAAAACGAGTTGGGATGTCGAAGCTGGGGGTCAAAGGTCAAAGGTCAAGAGGTGTAAAAGAAGGGGGAACATTCACTCCTTAACTTAAGGTATAGGGAGGAAATGCAGAATTGCGGCACAAATCTAAACGGCTCGACCTAGGCTCGTGATAGTCGGTGTATAGCATCATGGTAGGAAAAGCCATCACTGTGCTGTTATTGGAGGTCACAGGTCAATGGGCACAGGGCAGATTTTAGACATTTTCTGAGGACATGGTCTGACGGAGCGATTGAAAAACTTTTTTGTTTCAGCGGTGACCTAGCATTTTTATGGCATTATTGAAAGGACCATGAAATCTACTTTCTGCTAACATGCAAAGAGTAAGTGTCAGATAACCTTTTGACCCTCAAGAGGAGGGTTAAACATGGATTTGTTGACTGTCTGTTAGAAAGAATTTGACTGCCGGGTTTGCTAGTAGAATCTATACATGCCTGGATGTATGAGGCTACAATGTCACAGTGAAATTTCAAAAGCTAAATTTGGTTAAAGAAGGTTTATGCTCCTTAAATCGTATAATTTCTATGGCATTCTGTACTGTCAGTATGTTACATGTAACGTATGCCACTGCCAGTGGCTACTGCCAGTGCATGTGTTGGTGGTACTGTAGTTTTTGCCTGCGTTAATTGGTTACATGTGGCAGCTCTCTATTGCAGCCTGTAGGCTTGCGTAGGTAAATGGATGAGTGCTTATCTATTCTGTCTTGCAAATAGTTGTTGCTACTACGTATGATGGGAGCTTCCATCTTTAATCTGAAGACACTTAAACGTACGCGCCATTTCGTGGCAAATTTCATAACGATCCCAACGAACATTCCTGTGAGAAGGTTCCTGATACCATCCCTGTGCATTCCACTGTTTCGGCGTGTCTGTGAACACATTTGGGACTAACAGGGTTTACTAGAATCCCACCACTCCACCACAGAGTCACCGCAGTAGACGTTAGATGAGCGCTGTCGCTCCGCGGCACTTGTTTTATCAAAAATTAGTGCCGGACGGAGATATATAGTGCCGGGCGGCAACCGCGAGTGCCGGGCACACCCGCCCACCGCCACCCACCGTGGGCAGAACCCTGCGTTAATGTGTATATAATGGTGTACGTATGAGTGTCAAAATGATGTTAAAGTTTACCTTAATCGCTTTACTTGTACAGAATGTATACTGACATGTTTTTGTAATATTTTTCCTTCACGTTGTATAGCGTTGTTTTATACTGTATCACTCAAGAGTAGACATCTGTAAACATGTCATATGCTACTTCGTTAGTTGTAATAATTTAGTCTCAATCAATTGAAATCTAAAATAAAAAATTCGAATAAAATAAAAAATATAAATCTAAAATCAAATCTCATTTTAGTCTATTAATTTTAATCCCTCGAACAAAATCGAACACAATCTAAAATCTAAAATAGCAAAATTAAAATTAAAATCAATTTAAATCCAATTAAAATAAAAGGAAATAATCGATGTTGTATTTCAGACGTGAGTTGCGACCAATGGTTGGATATTTGGGCCGTCATGATGAGGAAGTGCATGTCGGTCGCGCACTTTCCCTACTGGGTGCAGTTGCACTGCAAAATCTTCTTCGAGATCATCGACGTTGACAGTAATGTAGTTTTACAATAACATAGGTGCAATCGTACAGTTTTCTGATCATCGCGCAGTTTTTATTCGTGCATAAGTACAGACATGTTACAATAACGTGTGGTGCAGTTAATGGTGCATTTTGCATGTACATTCATACAGTTAATGGTGCATTTTGCATGTACATTCATACAGTTAATGGTGCATTTTGGATGTACATTCATACGGTTAATGCATTTGTTAATATTGAAGAGTTGTAATTCGTGTGAGTAGGGACGTGTGTGTTCCACCGTGTATATCTTGGTTAAAATTTGCAAGGTTCCTGTATATGAAAATGATAAAAGCCGTAGTACTTATAACTACGGGGACCTATAGGCTTTTCTAAAATGGTACGAAGCTTTTTAGGATTTAACCTCCTGTATATGAAAATAATAAAATACGTATTACTTATAAATATGTATAACCTTAATTTTAAATTGGACGAAGCATATTTAACGGCCGATTAACGTTTCTCTAGGAAATGGTGAAATATCAAAGAATGAACTCCGGCACTACTATCGGAATTTCATCAAGATTGAAGACGAGTATGTGGAAGAACAAACCGAAAAAGGATTCACGGCAATGACAGCGGTATTAGAATTATATTTAGCTTGTTATTATTGTTTTCATGGAAATGTTTAAAACGATCATCTCAAGAGTAAATCGAGAAATTCATAAATAAAGAGCAATTCAGACTCAGCTGTCAGCCTAGATATATAGTAATCAGTAAAGCCCGGCTTTTACTCGAGTAAAATGATGCATGCGTCAAAATACTCACGTGTGCGCCGGATTTTCGTTGAGTTTTCTGACGCATGCATTAAGAAACTCGATATCAAACAAGTTTGATCATTTTTGACTCGTGCGTCAACGTGTGCGCGCTAGCTGCGTAAATTTACTCAACACTGGTACTCACAGTGCATGCGTGTAAATCATTTTAAAGATGACTGCGCCCAGTATTGGCTGCGCACAGTCACGTGATCTACATTAATTACCACTTATTCCTTGAGTAATTTTACTCCTGTGTGTGGCGGACGCTGAAATTGAAAATATTCAAGATTCACGCGCTAGGTTTGTTGACATATGTAAATTTACGTTTATTATGTATTTTTGTTGACGTATTTGAAATGAAGATCGGCGCACAGATTGGTGGAAAGAATGTTGTGTGAGTGTTCTATATGACATGTTAGCATTACTATGTACATTTGGTGTTATGCACGGATCACCGGTAAGTATCAGAACAGTTTAAAAAATATGAGAACGGTTGGTAAAATCCTCGCTTTAAACTTCACATGGTGTGATGCAGTGTCTGAATATTTTTTTGATTTTTGGCTGCTTGATCTATTGTCTGATCTATTGCTCTACTGCTGTGTGTGCATGTGTTATTTTTTTAATTTCAGAATGGTACTTACCCCTTGAATCAGGAGTTATACTACCAGAACTTTGCTAATTTCATCTTAGGGAAGGAGATATATGGACCAGGAGAATATATATTTGGGGTCTTCGATATCAATAGACCAAAAAGTAAGGAACATATTTTGAGCGCATTTGCATTATTTCTTTACTGTACCGGTACGCTAAAAACTTCATTAATTACCACTCAATGCAATTTCCAGCGCACCACCACAGTGCCAGTCCAGAGTATCTATACATACATTTAATTTATAAATTTATAATATAATATATATGTATATTTATTTATTTATTTATTTATATGAGTATATATAAACTTCATTCCTTCTCTAACATAATTTTTACTGCCCCACCATAATTCTATTCTATTATATGATAATTGATATATATATATATATATACAGAGACCCCCCCCCCCCGACTTACGAACATATTCAGTTCCGAGGTTGAGTCCGGTTACGAGCGGTCGTTCGTAAGTCGATTTGTTCGTAAGTCGAACATATGTACGTACGTATACAGTATTGTACAGTAGTGTAGTATATATGTACGTGTGAACATCGAGTAACCTAGAAGTGTACATAGTGTAAACATATACGTGAACACAGGAGTTGGCGAAAGTCAAAATCAGGGGGGCGATTGTTATTCACCAATATTGACATTATACACTAATGGACTTCAGGACAAATTGTTTGTATCATCGAAAGTTCGTAACTCGAATGTTCGTATTTCGGGGAGTCTCTGTATATATACATACATACATATCAGAAGTAGATAATACTAAATAGGGATATTATCTACTTAGGTTATCCCTATTATCTACTTCTGATACATATATATATATATACAAACTTTCCTCTAACGTAATTAATATATATATATATATATAAATATTTTTATATTTCAATATATATATATATATATATATATATATAGAGAGAGAGAGAGAGAGGAATTTTATAGTTGTATAATGTGTAAGTTTATATATATATATATATACGTACAAACTTCATACAACTGCAACTCTCTAACGTAATTTCCGGCCCGCGCACGTGCCGCTGCAGTACCGTTCCGGATCATCCTCCCCGTCGAGACGGAGGAGGAGGAGACCGCCCTCGCCAGCCTCGATGCCGCCAAGGAGGCACCCCTCCCCAGTGGGCGCCGCATCTCCGTGACGCGCTCGGGCAAGATCGCCGTCGCCGACCCGACGGCGCCGCCAGGGGGCGCCGCCGACAAGGTGCGGAGGGTCTCGCAGACGAAGATCCCGCACGTGCCTCGCAAGCGCGTTGTCATTCGCGGCCTCGAGCACTGAGCGCGCCCGGGGCGTCGGCGCGCGCGATACGTCGCCCCCCGCGTAGGGAACGTCCCCCCCCACCTGTAGTAAAAGATCCCATGTAACAAACGTTTCCCCTGTAGCAAACGTTCCCCCATAGTAACCCCCCCCCCTCGGTAGCAAACGTTCCCCCCAGTGACAAATGTCCTCCCATATAGCAAACGTCCCTGACGTAGCAAGTGTGCATCGAGTTTGCCCCCGCACGTGTGTATAAGTGTGCGGCCGTACAGGACAGGACAGGACCCCCGAAATCATTACAATAGTAAGTAAAATACACCGATTCTGCCTCTGATCTTTGGCATTTTGGGGATGGTCTTTGGTACATTTTACAAAGGAGGATGTTTTCGTAATACGTGCGACGACACAGGGACTATAAAATATCTCAAAAATCGAAACAATTGCTAAATTTTTAATTTATAAAGATTGGGACTAAAACCATTTGTAATTACTTTCAGTTAATTTAATACTAAGTTTGAATCAAGAAATTTTGAAATGTTGAAGAGATTTATTATTAGTTATTTTGTTTGTTGTTTGTTATTTACTCTATTTCATACACGTTTATGACCAAAATTATTTGTACTTATTAACATTTAAAGAGGCCTGTAATTATTAACATACTATCGTGATTTGCATGAACAAATTTTCTATTCTTTATGCCCAATAAATGAGATTTAAAAATTGATGGTACAAATCTATCAATATATATCGATGTGGTATATATTCTATTATGGACTCTTGATATATATATATCAGGAGTAGATAATAGGGAATTCCCCTATAAAATTCCATATTATCTACTTCTGATATATATATATATATATATATATATATATATATATATATATATATATATACCTACATATGAGTTTGGTTGTATTTTGGCAGTTTGATTTTCTGGTATTGCAGACAATCAGACCGGTTCACAGTCGTATTTGGGAGTTGTTGGTTATTGTACAGCATTAAAGTTTACACATCAGTATTTTTGAAGTGATTGGATGGGATTGTCAGTAATATTATCAGTGAGTTTCCACCTTCGTATATTGGCACGGGCACATTGATAGGAACGTTGTATATAATATGTGTGTGTGCGCGCGTGCGTGCGTGAGTGCGTGCGTGCGTGCGCGTGAATATTCATGGTATTGGTAAATCGCGTCTACATGGTCATAGCTACGATCGAGTGTTCATATTTTTGATATAATTATGTATCTAGTATAGAAACTGTTGGTGTTAATGTCATAATTTTGAGGAATCGGACGTGAGCTAGTGAATCGGCATTGCTAAGAAATACACTGCTTGGATTCAACAACTTTAAAAAAAATTGTATAGGGCCGTTCGCGGACAATCAATTTCAATAGTCGTGTTCATTTAATATATATATATGTATTATATATCAAGAGTACATAATAGATATCATGTACGCTTGATATATATAGATAGGTTCACAGTGTAAGTACTTATAATGATGACATTTTTAATGCAAAGAATGTAATCGAAATGTTTTTGATTTAGAAATGTAGTGATTAAACTTAAATTATAACCTGCAGCACATTTTCCGTTCTTAATCGCAGTTTTTATTTATTTATTTCTCAATCGTAAGCAAATCAATCTTTCTATGTACAAAATGGCCACGGATACCTATGTCTACTCTATGCATACAAGTATAAGTTAATTTCATGGTATTATCAATGACGTTATAAAAACGATACTTATTCGTTAAAAAAATTAAATAAATTCTCACTGGTTCCGCCTTACTATGTAGGCCTACCATAAAAATGATATTAAACCCTCCCTTTTGTATAAAGAACTTTTCACCTGCGATCTGCCCCACATAACCCTTGCTCTATAGTCACCTACTGAGCGTAAGTCCCGCTAAGGACATGGGGGGGGCTAATGGCTTCAAGGTTAGAGTAATAAATGAATGTCGTCCTAGATTTCGATCAATCGATGTGATCACTATAAGCAGTGTAATAATAGTACGACAAGACAAAGCCTCTGTCAACAGAATTTGTCCGGCCAATAGCGCAAAAAATGAGTAATCGATATAAAATCTATCCGTAGTTTAAAAGATTTAGAACCATTTGTTCGAGCAAAAACAACGAAATTGCTCTTGGTGGAAGATTCGGGGGGGGGGGGGGTCAAGCGCCCACACGGCGTGTGATAAAACATCCAGGAACCCAGCCTGGGGCAGCCGTGGTTGGTTGGCCATCGTACTCGGAAATAAATATTTATGCCACAGTAGAAAAATAATTCACCCGCGTGTGTATGAAGGTCTCTGATTGGTTGAAAGACCATAATTAAAACCGCGGTTGAATTATTTCTACTGCGGTAAAATAATTGTTTCTGAGTACGATGGTCATGCAACCGTAGCAAATGCATTTATTGCGTTTTATTGCAAATTGTACCGGTGCAAAAGACGAAGCACAATCGTCGACTTACACATTTCAAACTAAAAACTAGTACACGACAGTGTGACACTTAATTCACCAGCCCCACGACAACTTTAGAAAAGAAATTTTGTACCAACGACAATAGCAACACGGGGAAGTCGAGGCTGCAATGATAAAAACATTAAATGTGACGATGATAAAGTAGATAATTAAGATATTTCCTAGTTAATCCTAAACTCAAATTGCGTAAGAATCCGAGACACGGCGAGATTATTTCAACGACAGTTTTTTCAAGTTAAAACGACACTAAACAGGTTTTTTTTCACTTTGAACGTTTGAATGATAAAATGATTAATAAACAAGTATTATATTTACTACAAAAGTCTCTACTCTCTTTAGCATATTATTAGTAGTAATTTCCTGCAAATGCCGTCCAAATGCTCTTCCGCAACATTTATTTATTTATTTATTTATTTAAAGATGGTACTTTGGTATATAAGATATATCAACATGCTCAGCGTGCAAGCTTCTCACCGTAAACACATGCAAGTTCACCGCGCGCGCCGCTGTGCACAAACAACAAAAATATAGAGTATATATATATATATCTCGATATTTTATAGATTATTACCAGAAATATTTTTAATTTTTATTGTTTCCGCACAGCGGCGTGCGCGTGGTGAACTTGTGCGTTGCAGACAAGCATTTGAAAGGCATTTACAGGAATATATTACGAATAACCGGCGAAAGAGAGTAGCCTTTGGTAGTACATACATTTCGTATTTATTCACCACCAATTTATTATTGAAACGTCCCGAGTGCCTCTGGGTTTGTTCATTAATTGGTGGCAGTCTAAAATCAACAATTAAAAATGGCGACGCGCAGTACGTGTACTGTTGTGATGATCTGTAATAGTAGGCCACTGATTCGCCAGCAGGGAGCCAGACTACCGCTGACCTCTGCGCTGTCTCCTCCCTTCGCGTGTTTAATGTCACCGCTCGTGTAGAGGACTCTATCTATGATGTATATAAACCCGTTTGTCATTTTCTGTCCTCTGATGATTTCGGCTTCCACCGTACCGTCGGAAATGTGCCATCCTGTGAGGAAGAAGATATATTCTTTAATGTTTGGATGCGGGCTTCTTATCTCGCTTATCGTGCATGCGCTGCCCCCGCTTAATCGAGAGAGGGTCGAGCCTGACTAGAAAATCAGAAAATGACGAGAGAGAGAGAGGAGAGAGAGAAGAGAGAGAAAGAGAGAGCGCGAGAGAAAGGTAAGATTTCTGTGATTTATTTATTGTTATAATAACAATGATAATGATTATATATATATATATATACTTATATATTATGTATATATATCCCACCCCGTGATCACACCGCGTGGTGTACTTCCTGTCGCTGTCAAACTATATACATATGTATATATATACATATATCCCACTCCCGTGATGACACCGCGTATACATACTGTCGAACTATACATGTATATATATATATCAATCATATTATCTATCATCTCTATTATGTACTCTTGATATATATATATATATATATATATATATTATATATGATATATATATATATATACCCCCAACAATATCCCACCCCCGTGATCACACCGCATATACTTACTGTCGAACTATACATGTATATATATCAATCATATCATCTATCATCTATATTATGTTACCCTTGATATATATATATATATAATATATATATATATATATATATACCCCCCCCCCCCGACACATCGGGTATACTTACTGTCGCTGTCGAACTCGTCGTGTTTGAGGACGAGCGTTTTGCCGTTGATCGTAGAGAGCTGCATGTTGTCGACGAGGTCGTCCAGCGTGACCACCTGTCCTCTTAGCAGGTGTGTCTCCAGCACCTGTGCATGTCCACGCCGAGTGTGGAGCCGCCCGTGCAAAAATAGCACAAGAGCGAACGCAATCAACGTACTATTATAAATATATCGGTTCGTAAAAAAAGTTTTAAAAATTTAATTTATACCGGTTCGTAAAAAATGGTTAGACAATGTTTATGTTATACTAGTTCGTAAAAAATGGTTCAATAATGTTTATGGTATACCTGTTAGTAAATAAAGGGTTAAACAATGTTTTTTATATCGGTTCGTGAAAATTTAGTGTTTATTTTATACCGGTTCGTAAAAAAGGTTAAAAATTTGTATTTTCTAATGGTTCGTAAAAAAAAGTTGAAACCGATTTCCTGTCATCAACTTGCAGTAGTTCGGACAGGTGGACCAGTCTACGGTTTACGTAACCTACTGCTCCATGTCAGTCGCAAGAGCATGAAATCACATCTTTGCTTTACATCATGTGCGAAAACAAATGTCTTGATAAGGGTCACCCCAATTCTCAGTTCACCATAAATATTTGAACTATTTCTTTCACAGAGTCCGGTAAATTCTTCTGTTTCTCGCTAAAAATGGGTTGTTTAAATTCCTAAAGCGAGCCGAAACCCGAGGAGGGACCGAAAAACTCGCATGACGATCGGTAGTCAAAATGAAATCCGCGAAAAAAAATCGCCAGTCAATAAATCATAACTAGCGGTTAAAAAAACTAGTTATTCGCCGTCTGTTTTCGCCGTGTTTGCTGTCCTTTCCCGCCACGCGTGCGTGCGTTCACCCCAACAGTAGCCGCATACAAGCATATCCTTTCATCAGCAATCTTTTCATAAGCTATCGCGAAAACAATAGAGCCTGTAACATACACTACACACGCTAAAGCCGATGTCACGTGACCTCGCTGCTAAAATCACCTGATGCTCGTTATTTTTTTTGTTTTCTTCATATTATTATTATTGTTATTTTTATTATTATTAAATTAAGTTATAATAATAATAATAATAATAATAATAATATAATAATACATTTGGTTTTACGACATAAAACAACGTTTTAAATCATATAGCAACGGATCATAATACACGCGCTCCCGACACCGCACACAGCCGACCCGATAGAATTAAGACCGAATTAAAACTCAATTTAAAATATTTAAAAAATCTAACGTAATTGCTGAATTTATTTAATAACTCCACACTTCAACCGATTAAATAGATTGTATTCCGATCCGATCTAATTAATACCGAATTAAAACTCAAAGGTATCCGTTTAAAATACAAAAACCCATGCTAATAAACAAACTAAAATCACGAGAATAAATCCAGACTAATCCAAAAATACATCGTATTATCATTTAATAACTCCATACTTACATTCTCTAGTACATCAGGTTCGCCTTGTGTTAGCGCTTCGTAGTCGTCGTATCGCTGGCGGTACATATCGAGAAAGGCGTCGTTATTGGGAGCGAAGAAAGTAAGTTTCTCATTCTCTATCGACATGTACTCTTTCATGGTGTTGCTCGCTTTCTCCACGTTACGCCTGATGCCGCTGTGAAATGATGAGGTAATGTTCACACAATTATAACATGAGTACAATATACATTTTATAGAAGTAACATGTACGTCTACGTTACGCCTGGTGCCGCTGTTAAGTTAGGAGGTGACGTTTACACAATAATATATCATGAGTACAATGTAACTAAATACACAATTATATCATGAGTACAATGTAACTAAATACACAATTATAACATGAGTACTATGTAACTAAATACACAATTATAACATGAGTACTATGTAACTAAATACACAATTATAACATGAGTACAATGTAACTAAATACACAATTATAACCATGAGTACAATGTAACTAAAATGAATTGTTGCTGCAGTTGTGAAAATAAGGTAAAATGTAACATAAGTACAATGTGCGTAAAATCTGTTATCTATCTACTAGTATCTATCTATCTATCTATCTATCTATCTATCTATCTATCTATCTATCTATCTATCTATCTATCCTCTACCTGATCTACCTACATACTACACCTACTATCCATCATCTATCTATCTACCTATCTATATTCTATCTATCTATCTATCTATCTATATCTATCTTATATATATATTTATCATCTATAATACTCACTATCCTACCTTCCTACATCTAACCATTACCAACTTTTTCCCTCCTCCGCTCCTCCTCCTCTCCCCTCCTCCCCTCCTCCTCCTCTCTCCTCCTCCTCCCACTCCTCTCCTCCTCCTCCCCTCTAACCTCTCTCGCTCATCGCTCTCTCGCTCTATCCTTTCTCTCCTGCCTTCTAGGCGCGCCCAATCATGTGCACCCGAGCAAAGTGTCAAGTGCATCGGCTGTAAAACTCCTCCTCCTCCCTCCTCCTCCTCCTCCTCCTCCTCCGTCCTCCTCCCCCTCCCTCCCCTCCCTCTCTCTCTCTCTATCTTCTCTCCTGCCTCTAGGCCGCGCATCCATGTGGCAGCGAGCCACGTGTAAGTGCAATCGGCTGTAAGAACTCCTCCTCCTCCTCCTCCCTCCTCCTCCCTCTCCCCTCTACACCCCCTCTCCTCACTCCTCCGCTCCTCGGGTCTCCTGCTTCCTACTCCGCTCTAGCCGCGAGCGCATCAATGTGCACTAGCATCGTGTACAGTGCATCGGCTGCTAACGAACTCCTCCTCCTCCCGCCCTCCTCCTCCTCCTCCTCCTCCTCCTCCCTCCCCTCCTCCTCCGCCCTCCTCCTTCCCTCACTCCTCCTGCCTCACTCACCCCTCTCTAATCGAACCCCTCTCTCATCCTCCTCTCTCTCTCTATCTCTCTCTGCCTCTAGCCGCGCATTCATGGGGTGGCACTGAGCACGTGTAAGTGCCATCGGCTGTAAGCAGAACTCCTCCTCCTCCCTCCTCTCCTCCTCCTCCTCCTCTCCTCCCCGCCTCTCCCCTCGCTCCTCCTCCTCCTCCTCCTCTCCAACCCCTCTCCTCAATCACTCTCTCTCTTCATCTAATCATCTCTCCTGCCTCTATGCGCAGCATTCATGTGGCACAGAGCACGTGTAAGTGCATCGCTGTAGAGCAACGTCCTCCTCCTCCTCCTCCTCACTCCCACTCCTCCCCTCTCCACTCCTCTCCTCCCCTTCCCCTCACACCTACTCTCCTCATGCCTCTCGTCTCTCTCTATCTTCTCTCCCTGCCTAGGCGCGCATCATGTGCACGACGCACCGTGTAAGTGCCATCGGCTGTAAGAACTCCTCCTCCTCCTCCTCCTTCCTCTCCTCCTCCTCCTCCTCGCTCCTCTCCCTCCTCCTCCTCCCCCCCCTCTACACCTCTCTCCTCATGCCTCTCCTCTCTCTCTATATCTTCTCTCTCGCCTCTAAGGCGCGCATCATGTGCACTGAGCACGTGTAAGTGCCATCGCGCTGTAAAGAATACTCCCTCCTCCTCCTCCTCCTCTCCTCTCCCCCTCCTCCTCTCTCTCTATCTTCTCTCCTGACTCTAGCCGCGCATCATGTGCATCGACCGCACGTGTAAGTGCGTCGGCTGTAAGAATCCTCCCCTCCTCTCCTCCTCCTCCTCCCTCCTCCTCCTCCCTCCTCCTCTCTCTCTATCTTCTCTCCGCTGCCTGCTAGCGCCGCATTGCATGTGCATGGCACGTGTAAAGATGCATCGGCTGTAAGAACTCACTCCTTCCCCTCCTCCTCTCCTCCTCAACCCTCCTCCTCTCTCCTCCTCCTCCTCCTCCTCCCGCCTCTACAACACCCCTCTCCCATTCCTCTCTCCCTCTATCTTACTCTCCCTGCGTCTAGGCGCGTCATCATGTGCACCGAGCACTGTAAGTCATCGGCTGTAAGAACAGGCCCTCCTCCTCGCTCCTCCCTCCTCCCCTCCTCCTCTTCCTCTTCCTTCCCTCTCCCTCCCCTCCCGCATATATACCGTCTCCTCTTCCCGTCTCCTTCTCTATCTTCTCTCCGTGCCTCTAGGGCGCGCAATCAATTGACGATCGCACGTGTAAGTGCATCGGCGTAAGAACTCCTCTCCTCCTCCTCCTCTCTCGCTCCTCCTCCTCCCTCACTCCTCCGCCCTCCTCCTCCTCCTCCTCCTCCTCCTCCTCCGGCCCCTCTCCAACCCCTCTCTCATCCTCGTCTCTCTCTCTATCCTTCTCTCCCTGCCTCTAGCGCGCATCCATGTGCACGAGCCGCTGTAAGTGCTATCGGCTGTAAAACTCCTCCCTCCTCCTCCTCCTCCTCCTCCTCCTCCTCCTCCCTCCTCTCCTCCCCTCCCCCTCTACACTCTCTCCTCCATCCTGCTCTCTCTCTCTATCTTCTCCTCCTCTAGGCGCCGCAATCATTCAGAGCACGTGTAAGTGCATAGATCCGGCTGTACAGAACTCCGTCCTCTCTCCCCTCTCCTCCCTCCCTCCTCCTCTCCTGCCCTCCTCCTCCTCCCCCTCCCCCTCTAAACACCGTCTCATCCTCATCCTCTCTCTCTCTCTCTATCTTCTCTCCTGCCTCTAGGGCGCGCATCATGTCACAGAGCACGTGTAAGTGCTCGGCTGTAAGGAACTCGCTCCTCCTCCCTGCCTCCCTCCTCTCCTCCCTCCTCCTCTCCTCTATCTTCTCCCTTGCCTCTAGGCGCGCATCATGTGGCACGAGCACGTGTAAGTCGTCGCTGTAAAACTCCTCCCGCCTCCTCCCTCCTCCTCCTCCTCCTCTCCTCCTCCCCCCTCCTCCTCTCCTCTCTATCTTCCTCCCTGCCTCTAAGGCGCGCATCCAAATGTGCACGAGCACGTGTAAGTGCATCGGGTGCGTAATAACGTCCTCCTTCCTCCCTCCTCCTCCCCCCTCCTCCCTCCTCCTCCTCTCCTCCTCCACTCCTCCCCGCTCCTCCTCCTCCCCCCTCTACACCCCTCTCCCATCCTCTCTCTCTCTCTAATCTTCTCTCTGCTCTCTAAGCGCGCATCATGTGCAACGAGCAACGTGTAAGTGCATCGCTGTAAGAACCCCAATCCTCCTCTCCTCCCCTTCCCGCTCCTCCTCCGTCTCCTCTCCTCCTCCTCCTCCTCCTCCTCCCTGCCCCCTCTTACACCTCTCTCGCCATGCTCTCTCTCCTTCTCCTATCTTCTCTCCTGGCTCTAAGGCGCGCATTATGTCAACGAGCACGGGCGGATGTAAGTGCATCGGCTGTAAGAACTCCTGCCCTCCCCCCTCCCCTCCCTCCTCCTCTCATCTCACTAACTACCTCGTCTCCTGCCTCTCGGCGCGCATCATGTTGCACGAGCACGTGTAAAGTGCGATCGGCTTGTAAGAACTTTCCTTCCTCCTCTCCCTCCTCCCTCCCTCTCTATCTTCTCTCCTTGCCTCTAGGCCGCATCCATGTGCACGAGCACGTGTAAGTGCATCGGCTCGTAAGATCCTCCTCGACTCTCCTCCTCGCGCGTG